AGTAGAGACGGGGTTTCACCATGTTGGCCAGGCTGGTCTTGAACTCCTGACCTCAGGTGATCCACCTCCCTTGGCCTCCAAAGTGCTTGGATTACAGGCGTGACCCACCAAGCCCGGCCTATATTTTAAGTAATTGCGAGCCGGGCGTGGCGGCTCCTATCTGTAATCCCAGCAATTTGGGAGGCCAAGGTGGGTGGATCACTTGAGGTCAGGAGTTCCAGACCAGCCTGGCCAACATGGTGAAACCTTCTCTCTATTAAAAATACAAAAATTAGCTGGGCGTGGTGGCACATACCTGTAATCCCAGCTACTCGGGATGCTGAGGCAGGAGAATCACTTGAACCTGGGAGGCGGAGGTTGCAGTGACCTGAGATTGTGCCACTGAATTCCAGCCTGGGCAACAAAAGCAAAACTCCGTCTTAAAAAAAGAAAGAGACATTGCCACCACCACCCTGATCAGTCAGCAGCCACAAACAAGACCTTCCACCTGCCAAGATCCCAACCTGAAGCTTCAGATGATTGTTAGCACTTGTTTTTTTTTTTTTTTTAAAGACGGGGTTTCATCATGTTGGTCAGGCTGGTCTTGAACTCCCGACCTCAGGTGATCCGCACGCCTTAGCTTCCAAAGTGCTTGGATTACAGGCGTGAGCCACCACGCCCGGCCTGACTGTTAGCATTTGTTAAAATAAAAACTAAGCTACTTAAATCAGTAGCTTAGTTTTTATTTTATTTTATTGAGACAGAGTGTCCCTCTGTCACCAGGCTTGAGGGCAGTGCTGCCATCTCGGCTCACTGCAGCCTCCGCATCCTGGGTTCAAGCCATTCTCCTGCCTCAGCCTCCTGAGTAGCCGGTATTCCAGGCACGCACCACCACACCAGGCGGATTTAGAGAGGGGTTTTCACCATGTTGGCCAGGCTGGTCTCCTGAGTGCTAGCAATCTGCTCACTTGACCTCCCAAAGTGCTGGGATTTCAGGCATGAGCCACAGTGCCCAGCCTATTTTTTTTGGCGTTGAGGGAGGGTACAGTAATGGGAGCCCAGGTTGGGAGGGAATGAGGAGTGGTCAATAAAGTATTTTAAATTAAGGTATGTACGCTGTCTCGTAAAAATAATGTTATTGCATACTTAATAGACTGCACTGTGGTATAAACATAACTTTACTTTGCCCTGGAAACCCAGGCAGTCCCTCTGACTGGCGTTGCTGCGACATTTGCGTGATCGCAGTTGTCTGGAACCGAACCCAGATGTCTCTGAGGTCGGCCTGTGCTGACTCCAGTGCTGCAGCCTCTGACGCCGCGAGGAGGTTTTCTTCCTGGCTGGTTGCTGCCACCCACTGCAGGCGCGACGGGACCCTGGCACTGAGTAGGTGATAGAGCTTCCTCGCCACCGCTGCCTGGCTTCACCCAAAATTGGGTTGTTTGACAGACTTGAAACGGCCACTGGTAAATTCTTTTTTCTTTTCTTTTTTTTAATAAATTTAAACTGAGATGGAAAGGAAAGGCTAGGTTGTCAGAGAAACCACAAAGGTCTTTCTTCTAAAAAACACGGAACGCTTCAGAATTTGCGTGTCATCGTTGCGCAGGGGCCGTGCTAATCTTCTGTTTCGTTCCAATTTTAGCGCATGTGTTGCCGAAGTGAGCACAATTCTTTTTTCTTTTCCTTGATTTCCTCTTCTTGCTTTCCTCCTCCTGAAGTTGGGGAAGACCCCAAAGGCCAGGCCTATGGGTGACGCGTGGGAGGGTCGGGTCTGTGGGCCGAGGAGGGCATCCGTAGAGGACTTTGAGCCGTGCTGCTCGGGACAGCCGCGACCTGGCAGGACGGTCTCCCATATCTGCCGAGAGCCCAGGACCCCACGACTCCTGAGAGCTTGTCATAGATGCTGCAGGTGAGTCGGTCCTCAGACGGGAGGTGTGCTGATGCCTCCCCCAGCCTGGGCTTGTCTTCCCAGGGCCTTTCAAGGTACACACCCTTCACTCTCAGGAAGGCAGCGGCTGGCGCTTTCCTTGATGATCATGCTCTTGGTGTTTAAGAATCCTTTCTCTGACGCAGGGTCCCACGGACACCCTCATCTTCCTTCTTACACACATTCTGCAGTTGTAGGCCTTACATTTTGGCTTATTATAAGTATTGAGGCCAGGCACAGTGGCTCATACCTGCAATCCCAGCACTTTGGGAGCCTGAGGCAGGGGGATCACTTGAGGTCAGGAGTTCGAGAGCAGCCTGGCCAACATGGTGAAACCCCGTTTCTACTAAAAATACAAAAATTAGCCAGGTATGGTGGCACACACCTGTAGTCCCAGCTACTCAGGAGGCTAAGGCAGGAGACTCACTTGAACCCGGGAGGCAGAGGTTGCAGTGAGCCGAGAGGTGGGCCACTGCCCTCCAGCCTGGGCGACAGAGTGACTCCATCTCAAGAAAATAAAGTAAGTTTTGAATGGATTTGTGTATGTGCTGCCATGTGTAGACTGAAGCTTCTGTTCATAGCCACAGCCCCATCATTCTAGTACCCGTTGTTGCTAAGGTTCTCCTTTCTCTGCTGAATTTGCTTACACTTACTTCAAAATCAGTTGAACACGTATGTGAGGGTCTCCCCTGGACCCTCTGTTCTGCTCACTGGTCTATTTGTCTATCCTGTTACCAATGCCACACTGTCTGGATTTCAGAACCTTTATAATACATCTTGGGCCAGGTGCAGAGGTTCACGCCTGTAATCCTGGCACTTCCGGAGGCTGAGGCGGGCAGGGCGCGAGGCCAGGAGTTCAAGACCAGCCTGGCCAACATGGTAAAACCCGACTCAGCTACAAGTAGAAAAACTAGCTGGGTGTGGTGGCACGCACCTCTAGTCCCAGCTACTCGGGAGGCTGAGGCACAAGAATCACTTGAGCCCCAGAGGGGGAGGCTCAGTGAGCCGAGATCACACCACTGCACTCCAGCCTGGGGAACAGAGCAAGACCCCATCTCAAAAAAACTAAACAAAAACACAGGCCGGGCGCGGTGGCTCA